AATGCATCTCACTGATATACACTGTTCATCAAAATTAAAGAATAATGAGAAAAAATATGCTAAGCTAAAGTTGCAAGCAGTGCCCAATGCTGTAATTATTTACGTTAATTAAATACAATTGAAAACAAAACTGCACTTGTGCTCTGTCATATTTAATTTAATTAATTAATACTTCCATATTGATTAAGGTGGGTGATTTCAATACAACAATGTGCATGAGGACTATCTCACTAAGGGGTGAGATTCATTTGTGGTGAGCCTTCCTCAAGAAAACTGGCTTATATTTATATTACACATGGAGAAACCATGAAAACCAATCATAAAGCCACCCCATTGACTTGGATTCGGACCCACCTCAAAATACCAATATTTAGTTATCTTAAACACTTTGTTACTTGTGGGACACTTTCATGTCGGACTTTCTAAGAAATGACAGCTTTTACTTATTACATTACTTATAACTGTTTAAAGTTCTGTCCCCCCCCCCAATTTGAGGCTCTGAACAGAGGATTTGTATTTTTAATTTATGGGCCTGAAAAGAGCATTTGTATTTTTTATTTATAGCCCTGAAAAGTATATATATATATATATATATATAAAGGGATGGAATATATTAAAAAGTAATCCCTTTAACTGAAGTATTCAATCCTGCTAAAATATCATCTGAAAAATCTAAATATATCTATCTCATCAATGTTAAATTTCAAACACTCAGTCGTGTTTCCCAACAGATAATCTAATTTCCACATTTCTGTTACATGCTTCACACATTTAGTCCATTGCTTAGGATTTAGCAAATCAATCCCTTTCTCAATCAATTTATGACCTTCATCCTTTTGAAAGTTCTGTTTTCAGATGCTACATATCCTTTACAGTACTCCATATGAATTCAACTGGGTTCAGTTCCCAGTGATATAGTGTTAAACAGATAACAGTATGTCTGTCTTCAGCAGCTACAGCATTGATACGATGCCATTCAAAGTGTTTTTGAACCTCAGAAACAAGAACTAAAAGTTCCTTGTCCTTGAAGAAGGATTGTTCTAAGACAAAATGCTGTGGTATGTTGCATTATCCAACACAGTTACACTGCTAGATTACAAGTTATACAGTAATATTTTACAAACCAATTTTAATAATATTCTGATTGCTCCATGATAATCTACATTCTTTTTTTTTTTTTTTTTTTTTTTTTTTTTTTGGCTTCGAATATATACATGTTTCAGGAATAAATCCATTTTCGTTATCAGCATGAACAACTATGCATCATGAATCTTTTCCTGAGAAAGCATTGAAATCTATTGAAAGGACATTCAAAAACTTTTTATTGTTGTATCCTACCAAAGTTTGGTTCTAGAATACCCAAAATCTACCCAGTTCCCAATGGTATGAAAATTACACTATTCTGTTTATATCTTTTGTATCTATTAGATATCTGCCTCTAGCATTGAATATCGTCATGTTGAATCAAAATTCGCAGTCTTTTCATTTTTTAAATGCAAACCCTAAATCATTCAGCATTCATCCTACTGTGTGAATGGTCATACGTGGCAAATCAGCTTCATCATTTGAAACATTTAGCACTTTTTTCACAGTAGGAATTCATTCCCTAAAAAGAAAACTAACTTTTCTTCACATTGTTACTATAGTTGCTATCATATCATTTGATTTGGGTTTGTAAACTGATTTTTAGGGGTTGTCAAAAATTTACCATTTTTTTCACACTTAACACAAAAACACCAGACAAATAAACAGCAAAAGTAACAATTTCATTATCATATTTATTAGTAAAATGCTCCCATAGTTTATCAGACACATTCATAATGATAAACTTAGCCAAAATGCATATTCGTTTTCCAAACTTATTAGGTTAGATATTAATACAGTCAAAAGTCGTTAATCCGGACTCGTCGGGACTTCGGCGATTCCGGATTATCGATTTTTCCGGATTATAGATCATCAGTTTAAATCTCGTAAGATGGCATGCAGAAATTACAAAATTAAAAATATGAAACCGTAATTTATGAAATAAAGAACAATTATGATCTAAAGGGTATCAAAATTTACAAAAAGAAAAAGCTTAATATTTATTTGTTTACTTTATTAAACATTTCCTTCAATGTAAGTTGCTTCGTTTCATGTGATAATACTATCTCTTTAATTCTATTAAACAGACATAATTTCTTGTTTAGTTACAAAGTTCCGCTGTTCAAGTCCTGTAATTGCTGTGTTGAGAATACCAACTAATTTGTCAATCGAAATGTTTTCGTTTTCAATAACCTCTGGGTCACTTTCTTCACTATCGGAAGCGAATTATAATGAGGAGGAACTTGATTTAAATCATATCAAAGACGGAGTATATCGAGATGAAATACTACACTTAGTACCGAATTATAAACCAAATAAAATAAAAACATCTGCTCTGAAGATAAGGATAGTGCTGATAGATCAACTTCCAATCCGCAGCGTGAAATTGATAAACAGATTTCGGATTTCAAAACATACTTTCGCTTTGTAGATACAAATTACATATTAGTAAATATATATCGGAAATTCTATTTGACATAATCTTTCTAATCTATCATAATCTAATAATGACGTTTCTGTCCCCCCCCCCTCTGCCGCAGAGCAGCGTGAAATTGAAAAACAGATTTCGGATTTCAAAACATACTTTCGCTTTGTAGTAAATATATATCGGAAATTCTATTTGACATAATCGAAAGTTCAAGCTTACTTTTATAAAATTGCTCTAACAGTCTGCAAAAAATAATAAGCCGGATCCAATTCGAAGATTAAGGAACAACGCAATCTGCAATATTAACTGAATTAGATAACTTTAGCTTAGCGTATAACTCCGTTACACATAAAACGTGCATGCGCACAAACATATTCGCAGCTGTAAGGGTCTTATGCGCTCTCGTAAACGCCTGTGCGCATGCGTGAACGCGACGCATGTGCAGAAAGTTTGTAGCTTTGAGGTCCGGATTATAGATCATTCCGGATTATGGGTGTCCGAATTAATGACTTTTGACTGTACATTTGTTGGAAAGGAAGAAGATACCATAACTGCTTTCTTCTCCTCCTGGTCAACGAATGGGTAATTGCTTTTCTCCACAAAAATGCAGTGAGGTTCGGTTGCTGGAGTTTGCAGTTTCACCAATAATGCTACAACGAATGATTACCATAATATTAGCAATTTTTCATGTAAAAAGCTGGATGCAACATAAGCTACAGTTTCACACACATTTTTTTTTTTTTTTTTCCTTCCATTCTTCCTTTCTTCCACTTACGTTTCATACCATAATTTTTGCAATACAACTTCTCAAAATGGTAAAACTTCAAGGTAACCAAAAAAGTTCTTGCCATTTCTGATATGACATTGGAAGACTGAACCTCAACATAAAAATAATCACAAACCTTGAGATTATTTTATGTTGTCCGTCCTAACAACTCATTAGGATGACAGTATGAAAGCGCGTTGCATCGGTATTTCAAACATAAATTACACAACGACTAACTAAAACAGCAGCGTCAAAGTAGCTCCTTCAGAGTTGTTTGCTGTATGATTTTAAAGTAGGTCGTCAGCAGCAGAATCAAGCAGCTAAATTTGCCGGGCCTTTGGGGATGATGCTGTTAATGAACGAACCACTAGGCAACGTTTTAGAAGTTCAGGTGTCAGGTCAGGGGATATGTCACTTAGTGATGCACCATGCAGCGGTCGGCCACAAGCGCTGGACCATGAGTCCCTGAGAAGAGCCATAGAGAATGAGAGTAGCCAAAAGTGAAGTGAGCTTGCTGCACACTTCCAGGTATCTTATGAAATGATCAGACTCTATTTGCATGGCATAGGAAAGGCATACAAGCTGAGCAAGTGGGTACTCCACTCACTGTCCGAAGCAAACAAGTAACAGCATGTCGCTGCCTGTTTGTCATTGCTTACTTGGTACCACAATGCATCCATATTTGATAGAATACACACTAGCGATAAAACATGATTCCAGTATGACATACCCAGGCGTTCCATATATTGGTTGTCACCACGGGACCTTGTGCCTCACACTGCGACACTTTCTCGCCACCCACGCAAGATCATGCTTTTTGTCTGGTGGACTGGTCACCAAAGTAGTGCACTATGAGCTCCTGCCAGTGGGCCAAACCATCACGGCAGGCCTGTACTTCGCAGCAGTTGGAACATGTCCATCAGGTACTGATGCATGAAGAGCCAGCATTGGTCAATTGTAAGGGTGTACTCCTCCTCTATGATATTTCACCCTTCATTTGCTTTTTTTTTTTTTTAAGTTCTTTAGAAACTTTATTTTTAAAAAAACAACCCTTTAACACATTAGAAAGACTTAATAAGTACTTGCTGGTCTCCCTTGTCATTATGCCATGAAAATTCTACTTGAACTTTTCACTAACAAAATCTGGTTTTCAGCTATACTGTTTGGCAATTGCATTCAAAATGTCATCAAAACAGATTATTATTCTCTGCAAATTATTTCTGCCTCCATATGAACTCTGGCAATTAAGAAAAATTATAACAAGCTGTGCCATATTGTCGCTTATTTCTCCATTCTGATGATTTACAAATGCATCTCATTGTTTGCATATTAACGCCTATCTCAGGATTGAAGCTGACACTGAAATAATAAAAGGAGACTCTCCCCTCAAAAAAAGAGAGATAATGTAAAGAAAAAAGAAAAAGAAACAAAAGTTTAAACTTTTTAGAAAAATACATAACAGCTTCTAAGATTGCTAAATGTTTACAAAACTCAGTCATTAGTAATATTTTAGGCAATGCATTGGCAGGTACTAGATAATTGACAAGTACCTCTAAAAATTACTACTTGAATATCTAAATTAATTTAATCATTAAATAAATTCCAAAATTCTTATAAGAATTCAATCTAATTACAAGAAGAAAAGACAAGTATGAAATCGCATACTATATTTACACATCATGGTTAAATTTAATGTAAAAAAAGAAGAGAATACTTTCACACCAAGATTTGCTGAAGAGTTGAAAAGCCAATCAAATCCTGCAATGCTGCTTCCTTCAGAAGGAGCTGGAGATGGACAACTGTTTGCTTCACTCCAAGGCAAGAAAGAAAGTTGAGTTCGCTCATAACTTTCACAAGGATATGGTTTGTACACAAGGGTGTAATGACTATCATTACTGTCTGGTAATGATATTGAAAGTGTCTCACTAGATACAGATGATGCTTCACTTCCACAGTGCCCAGATTTAACACCACAATTATCTTTTGACACTAGTTTGTCCTCCTGCACTGGATGAATCATAAAATTTACAGATGCTTTGTCTTTTCCATGCTTAAAAGTTTCTAACTCAGGGGGCAGTAATGAATACTGTTTCTCACCCACACAAGATTTAGAATTACTTGTATTTACATTACCATCAGACTTTTTAGAATTAAGCTGCCTTTCTGAGTACAGCTCTTCAGATATGCCTAACGAACGGCTACTTCGGGCAGAAAATGTCCGCATATGCTTTGAAGAACCAGCAGTTTCTAATGAACGATGTCTCACTAGTGAATAGTTTGAGGAAGAAGTATTTTCATCATCCTGAGATGAGTTAGGTTCAAATGTAGGTATAGTAGATATGGAAGAATTACCAGTTCGATTATTTTCCATGCAGCATGCCTGATGCTCATCACTGAGTTCAACTATAGGTTTTATAGCCTCACTAAAACTAGGACGCAGAAATTCAACACTGCGTAATGGCACACCAGGCCTAGCACCAATTCCACTACCACTACTACTGCTTCTGCCAATCATCTCTAAACTTACTGGATGCGATGGTGGAACACTAGGAGATGGCTTTTCGGGGCAAGTTTCTAGCTCACTATGAGCTCTTCTTACAAATCGTTTATCCCGCTCAGCACGAGCCTGGCTTCGATTTCTACTCCTAGCAAGCTCAGCAGCCCGTATGCTAGGATCTTGCGACATGAAACCCAACTCTACTGAGCCTGTACCCTTGAGTAAAGCTTCAGAACTCGAACTTGATGAAAGACTCAAAGCACTAGGAAGATAATTTGCATGATGAGAATCAGAAAGTATGTACACAGAACTTGCAGACACAGCTGTATCTTCTGAATGTCCTAGAAATAAAACAAAGATCAATATAAAAGATTTATTCACTACTAAGCCAATATACTCAGGTTAAGAATAACGATATAGTCCCCATTAGTATTTCTATGGCAGTTATTCTATTAAAGTAAAAATTACTGGAAAATATTCTTGACATTTTGTTATGATAAATTTGCTCTAGTAAAAAGTCAGAACTACTTCAAAGAGCAGAAACATTAATATTTATACAGTTTATTTATAAAATTATTATTATTATATATGGAATGATTTGAAACTTGGTGGTGGTGTAATAGAAGTGTAGCGAAGAAACTTGATTCATATTAAAGAGGAATAAATGGAGCTGGATTAATTTCCCATTTTTATTTAGATTCACATTTGTGACCACAATTCACTTGGCACTCCAATCATGCCTATTTCCAGAACAATTTTGATACTATTGCAATAAAAGTGAAAATAGATTGCAGAGTCTTAACAGGATGAAAGTGTAAGCTAAAAGGGAAGAGTGTCGCAATACTTCAGAGGAAGGGAGGCAGTCGAAAAGTTTCAGTTCCAAGTTAAAAAATTTTGGTTTACAATTATTTGATTGGGCAAGAGGTATCTGCATTAGGCATTACTTAATTGCATGATTAATTTGAATGACACAGTTTAAACATATAGCACTATTTTTAAGATAGATAGATGAAGTCCCTAAATTAAATAAAAATAAAAGAGGTTATAGACAATTAAATTTAGAAGCTTACGTTCATATTTTTTACTTTATATACACACACACACATGCATGTATGCATATGGCACACCCAGATTTAACATTTATGGGGAAAGGGCGAACTAATAAGTTTTTAGTTATAAATGAAAAACAGTATATTATGTAGAATAAAATGAAAAATAATTTGCCAGAATTAACAACTTCATTATTTTGTTATTTAGACATAAAACTGAAAAATTGTTTCTTAAGAAAAGTGTATTTAAACATTAAGTATGCACTCAATTTTTTTAAGAAATCAAATTATGACTTATACAGAATAATTTTCATAGATCTTTGTTAGAAAATATGAACCTCTTTCTTTTAAAATGCAGCAATACATTGAGAAATAATACAGAAAATGAAAATTAATTTAAGAGAAAATAGTAAAAAAAGCACATTTTTGGCTTTAAATACAAATAATATTATTTTAATTCTCCACTAAATAAAATATTGTGCTAGCTTTAAATTGATTACTAGACACAAACAAGATCTGCTGAAGATGCATTGTTTAGTCAATTACCCATCAACAATTAATTGGAATCAATTTGTTGAGAATTTGGAATAATCTGATAAGCTAAATCTAAATTTTAAACTTAAATGAGCTCCTCCCATACACTTTTTTGTGGACCATAAAATTAGCACAAATCCTGACAAACTTAATAAGTCATGCCAGTGGAAGTTTGAAAGAACAGACTATTAATTTTGAAAATATTTCATGGTGTGCCATTCTGGTGAAGGTATATCCCAAGTTTTAATCAGTTTTTCAAAATGTGAGGGTAAAACATAGAAAGATTATATTATTCTCTATAAAACCTAAACTGGCTTATCAAGGATAAATCCAAGCGACAAAAAAAACCAAGACGGAGATCTTATGAGGATCTTATAAAGCTTACCCATTACTGGTCTTAATCATTTAAGACCATTCACAAAACCATATTCAACTGGTGGTAAACCGGTACTTCTAACATGTCCTATTCACATGACAAAGAAGCATTAATTGCTTGTCAAATTGGAGGTAGAATGTTCCTGCCTCTTGAAAACACGGCAAATGAGGAAAATTTACTACACTGAATTGCATGGTTCATTCAATTCTAGTAAATAACATGGCTGACATGCAGCTGATCACACACAGTATCAGCAAAATTATCTAACACATTGATAAATATGTGGGAATGCAATAGTGTTCAAAAATGATTAGATGGTATTACTCATACATAATACCAAAGCATATAAAGAAATATCTACAAGTTTAACTGTGGCTGAATATATAAGAAATACTTTTTAAATCAAAGTGCTGAGGCATATATATCACCTGCAATGCAACAAATTAACGGTAATGTCTCTCTAGATATGTTAGTTTTAGTGATTATTATTAATGTTTCAAAAGGAATATAAATTTCCTTTGAAACCACCTCCTTTGATGAAATAGGAAGCTGTCCTCTAAACAATGCATACTTAATTATAGGTTCAAAAATAATTCTAGGAGAAAAAAATTAAAAAACTTTTACTTAAAACTAATAAAATTATTTATAAACTAAAAAGAGAAAAATAATATATCAAATAGTTTAATGGAAACAACACATTTAATAATATTCTCAACAAAATACATTACAATTTTATATAATTTATAATAAAAGCATGGAGCACCCTTAATAAATTTATCAAGATAGTAGCTTATACACTTGACAATGCAATTTGATAATTCAATTTCATTATTTTGGTATCCTTGCTTGCATTATTCATAATGTGAAATCGTAAATAAATTTTGCAAAAAAAAAAAAATATTTAATCCTTTTTTACTTCCTTGTATACAGTAAAGGAATTATTGTAATAGCGAAAATTTTCGAGTGTCATAGTTCAACGAATATATCTAGTTTGACCGCTACTGAATGCAAATTAACGATGTTTTTGCACGACATCTGTATGTAAGGGAAGAATAAAGGGCTCTTTCTCCCAAAACAGGTTGCAAAAAAAAATTTTTAAATGGATTCAAATGAAATTTTTTCGTATGTATGTATGTATCTCATAACTAAAAAATGAGTAGCATCAAGATGTTGACATTTTGTACATTGAACTGCTATAACATGTGGTTGCACACCTCCCCTTTTGGTTGCAGTCAACTGCACCAAAAGTATATAAATATACGAATTCTGTTACTCGGCTCCATGAGCTCAGTTTATTTTATTCTTATATGTTGGTAAATTGTGCATTTTTTGCTTTAAAAATTATTGAATTATAATGTTCTTACCTCCTGGTTATGATTTTTATGCTATGCAGGAGGTTCTTACCTAATGGTTATGATTTATTAATTTGCATGCAATAGTTGTAGAATTATCAATAATTTAAAAGTTGCTTAAGTGTGGCTAAGGCTAATTTTTCTACCACAGCACCCATTTTTGTTTACATTACTTAGCTGAATAGTAAATTAAGTCAGTTTCTGCACTCTCAGTGTCTTTTTGTGGAGTTTGGGGAAAAAAACCATGTTCTAAATTTTTTTCCCTCTTTGATGATAATAAATGAATCTCCTTTTATTGCAATCATTTAAATATATCCAAGATTCATCTATTGTGACAACATTTTTCCGTTTTTGTTCGAGTAATTGTTTCAATAGAGAATTCTGCAGAGTGCTTTTGGCGATATGTCATGGAAAAAGACGACACACCTTATGTTTTTTCGCCTTTTTAAGATTTAAATCAGCATTAATCACCTTGTTTACAATTGACAGTGAGCATTTTAACCTTTTGGCTACTATCGGGTCATATATGTTCCACTAAAAATTTAAAAATTACTGCTGTGTTAAAAAGTAATTAGAATCTCCTGAATGATGGGGATCATCTCCCAGTAGCTGAAAAAAACAAGATGCCGCTGTGCTCGTTGTACACAAATTACACAAATGAACAAAGAGAAAAGAAAAAAAAATACGAGTTGTCCCAATGTGTAATGTTGGGTTATGCAAAAAATCCTTCACCCTGTACCATAAGATGTAAAATTTATTTCACATAATAAAGTTTTCCAGAATAACAGGTGTGCTTATAGTAAGTCAACATATGTGTGGGGCATATGTCTCCCACCATTAACTACGGCTGGGACTACTAGTATGTGTTCCAGCCTTTGGCTTGAAAACCGTTTGTCAAAAAAATCCCAAATGCTAAATTTATGTTATTTATGACACATTTTGTTCACTTGGATAGAAAACAGGGTAATTTTTAGTCCAAAGGGACTTTGTCTCTGAAGGACTATTGTTTTCGTTTTGTGTTGAAAACTTTAAAAAGGCTGTATCACTTTTCAAATCCCTACCATACTATCACCCTGTATTATATTTGAAGAAATTAAATAATGAAGAATCTGCATAAATGTATGTATGTATGTTTCTCGCATTGTGATAAAACAACGGTACCTACAGCCATCCAATTTTGAATGACGTGATCCTACTGCGAATAGGTGCATTTGAAAGCCCAAATTTGAAATTTGTTTTATTACTGATTTAATATTTTGTAAAACTTTAACGAATTTTTGGGTAACAAACTCAATGATTTAAAAGCGAGAAATGGCAACACTATATGGGGAAGAGGGGGACTTTTTAGTATCTTCAGCATGCAGAACTGCATATTGAAAATTCTAAAGATATGCTCATTTTAAAATTATTTTGCGACACTGCCGTGGAACTGAATTTTATGGTTTAAGTGCAAAGAACATGATATTTACTAAATAAAGATAACACACAAAACATTAAAAAAAAAGCCCCTTTAAATGTAATTTAAAATCTGAAACTTTTCAGATTTCTTTTTTCTTTTCATTCTTTTTTTTTAATTCGTAGTCAAAGGGTTAATAATTATTCAATTGTCCTTTGACTTCGCAGATTTTTTTTTAACATTAAAGTTCTTAGATTTGCAACATTCCAGTTTTTTCTTGGATGTATTTTGAACCCCTTTTCCACCTTGAAGTCAACACCTGACTTTTTTTAACTTTCTTGTTGACAATATTATCTATCGTTGCTTTAGATACCGAAAAATCATGGCTTTCACAACATTTTTTTGGAACTGAATAAAAATAATTTTCTTCAGAGAGATCACAAACATAGCCTTTTGTCCATTGCTTCTTTAAAAGGTGCAATTTTGCATGAAAACAAAATTGTCAAGCAGCAGGAGATAATTTACTCTTTAGAAAATTAATGTGTAAATTAAGTTATTTCCCCCACACACACACTCAAGAGGTGTTTCTTTTTCAAACAAACAAAATTGTCAAGTAGCAGGAGATAATTTACACTTTAGAAAATATAGTTGAAGTTCATTTTTTCCCCCCACTCAGGAGGTGTTTCTTTTTCTTTTTACTTCCTTGTACGAAGTAAAAAGGAAGTATTGTAACCGCAAAAAACTTCAGGCATCATATTTCAACGAAAATATCCATTTTGATCGCTATTGAATGCAATTTAACGATATTTTTGCGTGACATTCATACGTAAGGACTGAATAAAGGACTTTTTCCCAAAAAAAATTATAAAACTGATTTAAAATGAATTCTGAAGAGAAATTTTCATGCTGTCTGTACATATCTGGCATAACTCAAAAATGAGTGGCCTCAGAACGTTGAAATTTTGCATATAGGAATGCTATAAAATGTAGATTCGCACCTCACATTTTTCTCACAATCTTATGCACCAAAAGTATATAAATATATGTATATATATATCCACTCTGTTACTCGGCTCAGTGATCAGTTTCTTTATTCTTATATGTTTGTAAATTGTGCACTTTTTGCTTTAAAAATGTTTGAATTATGTTGTTCTTACATTCTGGTTATGGTTTTTATGCTTTAGTTAATTTGCATGCAATAGTTGTAGAATTATCAACAATTTAAAAGTTAGACTAGAAGAGAAACACGCTAATGTGACAATCAAAATCGTAAAAACAACCTTGTATTTAGCGTAAGTATGATGAAACACTCAATCGATTTTGAGGGCAGCTAAAGGTCCCACTTCATCAGGAGAAAGAAATACTTAGAAAGAAGAAAATAAAGGAAAAGGAGTCTCAGAAACACGTGATCCTTATCAGCACTGCACGTGGTTATAACTGGCTTTTTAATCAGAGTTGCACTGGCCGCCTACTTTTACTGAGCCAGGCTATCTGATCAAGCATAAAGGACAAGAAAAATTAGTTTTCTTTATTTTTTCTTTATTTTCTTCTTTCTAGGTATTTCTTTCTTATGATAAGGAGGGACCTTTAGCTGCCCTCAAAATCGAATGAGTGTTTCATTATACTTATGCTAAATACAAGGTTGTTTTTACAATTTTAATTTAAAAGTTGTTTAAGTGTGGCCAAGACTAATTTTTTTACCACAGTAGCCATTTTTTTTACATTTGAAACTTAGCTGAATAATGAATTAAGTCAGTTTCTGCACTTTGTTTCTTTTTGCAGAGTGGGGCCAAAAGTAAACTTTCAGTTTGGTTAAGAAAAAAAAAATATGCGTTCTTGCCCGCTGGTCGAATATTTTATTTTTGCGTAGAAACTCTAATTTTAATTGTAAAAATTGTTTTTTAATTATTTTAACTGCATTTGGTATTTTATATTTTTCAATTTTTAATAAAGATATTTTGAGGTTTTATGTATTTTTGTCTTGTTGCAAAGTGAAAACTGAATTAATTGAATGAGAAATCTAATGAAATTCAAGGAAATAAGTTTAAATGACATGCAGGAAAAATGCATATAATTTAATATTTTATACAAGGAAGTCATGTGGTGTACACCTGAGAATTTTTCTATTAAAAGTGTATGATAAATTCTTTTATTCCTTTTAGTACATTAATTATTTTATGAGCATTTAATAAAAGCTTTCCTTTAATTTTTTACTTCCATCTTTTTAGTCTCAATGGGATGTTGTCAATCAAATTATCAATTCAAAAATCCTTATTTAAGAATGAATAATCACCATTTTTTCTCAACAATTCTTTTATATTGAATGATGAAAAAATTCAAAGGTTTTAAAAAAAGAAGGGAGAAAATAAATTACATATCATATCTCATCAAAGTAAAATCTCATATAAACCTCATTTAAAAGTTTTCTGCCTTCTTGTGCTATCTAAAAATGCAAAAACAAAAATTTTGAGATTTTCAGATTCTTCTTAGAACAAAGATGCATTCAATAAATCACATTACCTTTAAATTTTAAAACTTTTAATTTCATTTAAAAGATATTTTTTCCTGCTCTAACCAATGATACAAACTATAAAATTCTGAGATTTTGAGTTAGTTCATTAAATGAAAATATAAGCAATAAATCATTTCAATATTAAACTTTAAAAAAAATTATTTGAATTTTGAAAATATCACTGCATCTTAGTGTATTGTCATCCACAAATAGTGTAAGTATAAATTTAAAACTAGATAGCTTATCAGGAAGTAGTTTAAAAATCAATGCAAACTTTTTACATAAGACAAACACAAGTGAGCTACATAAATGTTTATTAATAATAATAATAAAGCATAACTCTTTAAGAAATCTTATGAAATTTTTGGTAGCATCTTTAGAAATGAACAACATTAAAAAAGTCTAAACATTATAAATCAGGCAATCCAATTCAGTTTTGTGACATCACTGTTCCCAGTGGCTTATGATAAAGGGGTGGAAGATGGTAGAGCTATAGAATGCTTCCAAAAGACAAAAATCTTTCATGTCTCCTTTTTCCTCTCTTACTAATAGCAGCCGTGTGGAGGACATTTGAATGTGAACAGGGCTACAGTTTGGCGACACTTTATTTGACAGAAATAGTGATGGGAATCTCTAAATACTTTTTTAATTTTTATGGTGATCAAAATGGTGCAAAATATAATTTTCTGCTTAGGATTTATTTCTGTTACCAAGTATCGGTGTGATAAAGGAAAAAAAAAATATACATTTTCCTGTTTAACTAAAAACTTAAATACTCATTTAGGTATCATAATTGGTCATTAAACAGCATGATTAACTTAAACAGATATACCTATTTGATCTTGTGAAGCATTATTATTTGAGAGAGCAGATATGAGAGTGGTCATCTCTTGCATATTATTTTTGCCAATATCTGCAGTCCATGACCTGCCTTCTGATGCTGCAACTAACAAAATATTAATGAAAAAATAATACAATTAGTAAACTTTTACATACATTTGGTAATTACCCATACTTATGTTTATATGAGAACTTGTAACTTAAATTTTCTTCCATTAATAAACATTTTTAAAAAAACTTAATAAGCCTTCCATCACTGGATATTTTGCAGCAAAATTTTCTGCATTTAGTACTAAGTTAATTCTTCCACTGCATACTTTTATGATTTCTACAATCATATACAGCATTGATTGACTGCAATAGCGATAATTACTCAAAGCAATATGCATACATATAATTCCAGCATTTTACATTTATTGACCATAAGAAAAGCTAAAAATTTTTGTATCTCCTTCATCACATTCGGTAAAAAGAATATAATTTGGAAGACCCTTGGATTCCTCCTCTGGGGTGCTCTTCATCAAAACTGGGTCAAACTGGCCAAAGTCATACTTATATGATCACCTATATGGGCTCAAAGTCCATGCCAATGGCAGAGGCGATTTCACACTCATTGCCACAATAAAATTCAGACGTGTTCTGATTAGGTCAGACAACTAAAATAAGACAACTAAAATACGGCAAAACAACATGAACAATTTTCCTCTTAGCCACTATAAAATGTATAGACTGAAAGTACAATCTGATTCAAGATCACAAAGCTTAGAAACAACAGACCTTTGAATATAGTCACTATCAATCTTAATGCATTTCTCAAGTAGATATTCTCAATAACATTCAAAATTATTTTTGACGTTAATCCAGTTAAGCTTGTTGTGCTCTCATGGGAATCATCTCAGTCCTAATACAAGGCCTGATTTCTAAAAACAGACATAAATCAGCTTATGCCAGCATAACTAGAATCAGTTGCTTTCCAAGACTCTACTGGAAGGATTATCTTGGCCATGAGTGCTACAAATACACTATGTTCACATCTGATGAAACACATAAATATTCATGGTAATAATATAGATGAATGCTGAATATCTAAATTGCCAAAGGTAAAAAAAATCAATGTCTTAATTATTTCTATGAAATTAAAATGACACTTGAATTTCTCCACATAGATGTCGTTTAATCACTTAAGCTACTCGTCACATACCCATGGGTTGCAGTTTAGGAAATAAAAATATAAATTTTCAGACTACAATAACTTCCACCATCAGATATCTTTTAACAGAATTATACAAGACTGAAATTATTATACATTCTTCACAGAAATAATAACTTCACACATACTAATAATGAAATTTCTGGAGAATCAAATAAATATTCCTAAAGGGAGTTTTGTTTTTTAATTCAAATTTCTTAAAGAAATCTTTTATGACAGAAAATCACAACTAGAAGCATGAGCTTTAAATTCCTATTTATAGAAATGCTAAAACCTGAAATTTGTATCAAACATTAAAATTTTATATCAGCCCCTAAACCAGATACATTTAGCACCAGATGAATGTGGTTAAAGTTGTATTATTGTGGCAGTTATTTTTAGGGCCAACTTTGCATAATACAAAAACTAGCATCCCTCCATCTACAAATATTTTGAGTAAAGTATGGAACAACTTTCTAATTTGAATTTTCTACATAAAACGATGACAATATCAAAATTTTCATTTTACAGACAAGGTGTGACATAAAAAATGAGACTGTTCCAATAAATCATTGTACTTACAGAATCAGTTTTCAGTGGCATTATCACCTTCAAAGCAGTTCTTTTCAGCATTCACACACTTCTGCATTCGGTGCTGCCATTGCTTGGTAACAGTTCTGGAACAAGGTTTTTGGAAGACTCTTCAGGAGATTCTCCATTTTTTCCTGAACCTCTTCAGCTGAGGTAAAATGGATTCTCTTTAAGCACGATTTAACTTTAAGAAAGTAAAAAAAAAAAAGTTGCATGGAGCCAAATTAGGTGAATAAGGAGAATGCCCCATGACAATAATGTTTTCGCTGGTTAGAAACTCTTGATAGATAGGGCCATGTGAGAGGGTGCACTGTCCTGGTGCAACAGCCATCCACAATGGTGGCCATTTTTTTCATAATTTTTTCATGAAGTTTTTTAATATTTTAATGTAGTAGTGTTGATTAACAGTCTGACAATTGAGCACCCATTCAATCATTATGAACGTGCTAGGCGCCCCGTTCATCATCTTCCACACTGTCCCTTCACCCTGAAAACCACTTATGACATTCAAACACACGTGCATGAGACAAAGTTTCATCTCCATAAGCCTCAGTTAACATTTAAAATGTTTCCTCCATGGCTGATTTCTTAAGTTTCACAAGAAACTTGATGTTGATTCGCTGTTCAGCTTTAACATTAGACATTTTTCTGGCAGAATGCAGTTGCACGTGTTCACTCAATGACGCAGTAATCCCCACTGGCGTGGTCGGTTAAATCGAAACTGGCCTCATGGATAGAGAACGTGTGTGACATGACATCACCAAAACAGCTGTTGCCAACTCCACTCTATTTTTCAAGCTACATACTTAGTCTCATTTCTTTTGTGTCACACCTTGTATATTTTAACAAAAAGATACCATGTGATCAAAACTATCATAATCTGAAAACTAATTAGAATCATTCCTTAAATTGAACCTACAAGTCTATGATTAATGAGAGTTCAAGAGCTATTTAATTATAAAATATTTTTTTTAATGTCCTGCAGGATGGTTATATAGATAAACCTTCTCAATGCATCGGAAGACAAAAAAATTGTAATGCAATGAGGTTTTCAAGAAAATTAATTTGTAAGGCATTTTCTCCCTCTGTTCCACGTGCCTTTGTGGTGTAACTGGAAGCATACTCGATGTTTATTCAAAAGGTTCAGGATTTGAGTCCTGGTGAGGGCACTGCACTTTTTTGTGCATAAAAAATCCTAATAACTCTACAAATTATTAAATCACAGCTGTTTATTACATACTAAACCATTATGTGAAATTAAATAAAGCACAAGTTAAGCATAAGAATAAAAACTGCTATTATACAAATGAATATAAACACTTCTGCCACATTATACATGACTTTGTGTGATAAACTTGGAGCCAAGTTTATGATGCTGTTTATGTGTTATAAAATACTATATCTAAAAATTACACAGACAAAAATAATTTCAGATTAAAGGAACTACAAGAAAAAAACTTTTGTTAAAATATTCTCAACTAATTTTACTTGAATAACAAACGATGTACTCGAAAGAAGAGCATATGGTATTGAAAAGGGAACTTAAGTACGGGGGAAAAAAAAATTACAGAGAAGTATACAAGATTTAACATTACAAAATACACATATTTTCACACCTTGTTGCAAAACTTCTGCAACAAGACTTGAAGCAAGCCCATCTTTTCCTTCTTTCTCCTGCTGTGCAGGTTCTGACACACTTTGCTTGACAGACGCAGCACCAGAACTACCAGAACTCTCACGATGGTGAACGTCAACTTCTAGATCTGTGAATATTATAAATTCTGTGTTATGTAACACTGCAATAAGAATGCAAAGTTTACCAAAATGAAACTACTGATTTTAATTGCTTAAGTTACAGAAATGAAATAAATGAGGTTATTACATATAATATCCAGCCAATATGTATACTGACTACAGCATTACACTGGGCAATACACACAATGGCCTTTTAATCATTTTTACGTATGACTTACACATTAATATAAAATATTTCTTTTACTTCTAGATGTATTTTATCTCATAAAATATCACAGTATAAAAAAATTTTATAAAGCTGAATTTAGTTAGAATATTTTATGATCAAGTTGATATCTTTTCCTTTTATTATTTTTTGAATACTTATTCTTCTACATAAAATTTAAAGAAATGTTCTTGTTGGAGTCAAAAATAAATTCTTACACAATTTTAGTAAACATTAAATATATGATACTTTTGCTTCAGTGCAACCTAAATCATTCAATTTGAATTGCATTTCTGGAACATTCATGTCACAATCTAAACAATTTTTTGATTCTGCACACAGAAATATGAAGTATATTTCAAGCAAAAAACTATGATTCTTTTAATATTTACCAGTGCGACCCATATAAACAAATCTTTGATTATGTGTCTTTTTACATCAGTTATGGCCAACAATGTAATTTTGTGCCAGAAATATTTACAATACTTTAAAAAAATCTGGCAGTGACTTGCTGCAATAATACATTAATGCTTCCTTATAAATATTATATATGGCATGAAGCTGTTTGTCACAATAATATGCGTTAATTTAAATGACAGGAATATATAAAAAAAATGATGAATGACTTTTATTAACTGATAGACATACTGTGATGTTGTGAATATCCCAGATTCAAGAAAGATAGCCTTAGTGAAACATCAATCTTTTATTTACGTCACTGTCAAAACATACGAACACGTCGACATAAATTTTAATTTGCACACATTTAGAAATATTAATAGATATCCAAGTTGGTGACATGTTCAGAGACTGCAAAAATAGGTCATGACGGATCCGTCACACCTGACCTCAACAGACAAAAAAAAATCTCCATACTTTATCTTACTGGCAGAGCTTCCAATCTCTTTCTCACAGACCAAACGTCGAACACTTTGTTGTTCTACTTACACAGACATAGTACCTCAGATCAGCCTGGTTGCCTAGAGATATGGAATAATAGTTCATTACAACAGTCTCAAGAAATAATTTTCTAAGCAAGCACATCAGCTCCTTTTACATCGTCATGTATGAACGAACATGTCACCCCTTTTTTATTTATCAAAGTCTACTTGGGAAATAACTAAAATACTCAAAGGCTATGGAAATACAATATCTGGACTTGTTGGGACTTTGGTGATTCCAGATTTGGGATTTTTCTGGATTTTAGGTCATCAGTTTTTTAAATCTAATAAGATGGCATGTAGAGATTATAAAAATTAAAAATATGATATCGTGATTTATGAAGCAATGAAGCATATATGATCAAAAGAATATCAAAATTTACAAAAAAAAAACTTAATATTTATTTGTTTACTTATTAAATATCTCTTTCAATGTAAGTTCTATAAGTTCCTTTGTTTTTTGTGCTAATATGTTCTCTTTAATTCTACAGACAGACAGGGAAGGGGGGGAACATCCCGGCATGCAATGAACTCGAAGCTGATCTGTCAGCACTATCCTTATCTTCAGGGCAGATGTTTTTATTTTATTTGGCTTATAATTCCTTACTAAATGTAGTATTTCATCTCGATGTACTCGGTCTTTGATATGATTTAAATCAAATTTCTCGTCATTATAAATATCATGAATACACATCAAATAGTTTTCTGGTTGCAAATTTTCTAATTTCGACTATGCGTAATGTACGCTTTACGCAAGCGCGCGTTGAAAGAACTGTTTAATAAAGTAAACAAATACATATTAGGCATTTTTTTTGTAAATTTTGATACCCTTTAGATAATATAATTGCTCTTTATTTCATAAATTACGGATTCATATTTTTAATTTTATAATTTCTGCATGCCATCTTACCAGATTTAAACTGATGACCTATAATCCGGAAAAATCGATAATCTGGAATCACTGAAGTCCAGACGAGTCCCAATTAGAGACTTTTGACTGTATCTGGAGACATCCTCCCATGATCTTGCAATTCTTCATAGAGCAGAATTAATGATAAGATATTTTAAAAATTCTTTAATGGTCTTGCCATTGCTCAATAATTTTTAATTAATTTACACGGATTTTTAAAATGCTACTTTATTTGCATTTCAGCACACGTTTGCATTTCAGGTTGAATGAATGACATACAATTTGGAGAAATTTTTGCATCATCAAACCATCCGAATTCAAATGTTGCTGAGCCTTGGGTATGAAATGATTTTCAAACCAATCATTCTTTAATGCTGTGCGAACCATGCTTTTTTATCGGCATCATATATAATGGGGAAAAATCTCCATTCCTTTAAATGCTCGAGTTCATGTATGCTTTCTGATTATGAAAAGTTTACACTTGTGCGTTCCTGCAGCATTCGTACATTCTAAAATTGTTAATCTCTCTTTGGAATCTTTGACAGCAGTTGGAGCCTTTTCTGTAGAGGTTGCCAGGATATTTCTCAGTATATATTGCCAGAAAAAGACTAGTTTAATCAGCACTGTAAATTTGTTCTGGAGATAACTTTTCACTAATGAGTTCAATGAATTCATCTGCTGGGTCATTCTGACAGGTCCAAAGCTAATGGCTTGAGTCATCCGCATTGCACCTGTCAATGGCATGCTCTCGCTGCAATGCTATCTGACCCATTCAATCATCACACTGTCATGATCATCACTTTAGCATAAAGAATAATTTTTCTTTTATTCATTGAGAGTGGGGGTCAGAAACCAAAAAAAAAAAAATAATAATAATAATAATAATAAATTTCCTTTTTTGTTTTTTATGTCATATAAAAGTTGACTTTCTAACGCCAAACTTTTAGCTTAATTTTGAAATGGATATACCTTTATCCATTTTTTGCAGCAATTCCACATTTTGTTTAATGTTAAACATGTACATCCTGTTGAAGCTCCAAAATTTGAAAATCTTTTCAACACAATTGAAAGTTTAAGCTTTAATTTTCCCAAAACTGCTGTAATACAGTCAAAAGTCGTTAATTCGGACACCCATAATCCGGAATGATCTATAATACGGACCTCAAAGTTACAAACTTTCTGCACATGCGTCATGTTGACGCATGCACGCGTAAGACCTTTACAGCTGCGAATACGCATGTGCGCGTGCGCAAAATACGTTTACAAATGCGCGTTTAATGTATAACGGATGGTATAAGCTAAGCAAAAATTATCTAAATCAGTTAATGTTGGATATTGCGTTGTTCCTTAATCTTCGAATTGGATTCGGCTTATTATTTTTTGCAGACTGTTAGAGCAATTTTATAAAAGTAAGCTTGAACTTTCTATTATGTCAAATAGAATTTCTGATATATATTTACTAATATGTAAAGGATCTACAAAGCGAAAGTATGTTTCGAAATCCATTAAACAAAAAGTGGAATTGCTGCAAAAATTGGATACAGGCATATCCTTTGTTTATCTAAACTTTGTTTATCTTTAACGCTACGGCGCAATGAACTGGAAGTTGATCTGTCAGCACTATCCTTATCTTCAGGGCAGATGTTTTTATTTTATTTGGCTTATAATTCCTTACTAAATGTAGTATTTCATCTCGATGTACTCGGTCTTTGATATGATTTAAATCAAATTTCTCGTCATTATAAATATCATGAATACACATCAAATAGTTTTCTGGTTGCAAATTTTCTAATTTCGACTATGCGTAATGTACGCTTTACGCAAGCGCGCGTTGAAAGAACTGTTTAATAAAGTAAACAAATACATATTAGGCATTTTTTTTGTAAATTTTGATACCCTTTAGATAATATATTGCTCTTTATTTCATAAATTACGGATTCATATTTTAATTTTATAATTTCTGCATGCCATCTTACCAGATTTAAACTGATGACCTATAATCCGGAAAATCGATAATCTGGAATCACTGAAGTCCAGACGAGTCCCAATTAGAGACTTTTTGACTGTATCTGGAGACATCCTCCCATGATCTTGCAATTCTTCATAGAGCAGAATTAATGATAAGATATTTTAAAAATTCTTTAATGGTCTTGCCATTGCTCAATAATTTTTAATTAATTTACACGGATTTTTAAAATGCTACTTTATTTGCATTTCAGCACACGTTTGCATTTCAGGTTGAATGAATGACATACAATTTGGAGAAATTTTTGCATCATCAAACCATCCGAATTCAAATGTTGCTGAGCCTTGGGTATGAAATGATTTTCAAACCAATCATTCTTTAATGCTGTGCGAACCATGCTTTTTTATCGGCATCATATATAATGGGGAAAATCTCCATTCCTTTAAATGCTCGAGTTCATGTATGCTTTCTGATTATGAAAAGTTTACACTTGTGCGTTCCTGCAGCATTCGTACATTCTAAAATTGTTAATCTCTCTTTGGAATCTTTGACAGCAGTTGGAGCCTTTTCTGTAGAGGTTGCCAGGATATTTCTCAGTATATATTGCCAGAAAAGACTAGTTTAATCAGCACTGTAAATTTGTTCTGGAGATAACTTTTCACTAATGAGTTCAATGAATTCATCTGCTGGGTCATTCTGACAGGTCCAAAGCTAATGGCTTGAGTCATCCGCATTGCACCTGTCAATGGCATGCTCTCGCTGCAATGCTATCTGACCCATTCAATCATCACACTGTCATGATCATCACTTTAGCATAAAGAATAATTTTTCTTTTATTCATTGAGAGTGGGGGTCAGAAACCAAAAAAAAAAAAATAATAATAATAATAATAATAAATTTCCTTTTTCTGTTTTCTTATGTCATATAAAGTTGACTTTCTAACGCCAAACTTTTAGCTTAATTTTGAAATGGATATACCTTTATCCATTTTTTGCAGCAATTCCACATTTTGTTTAATGTTAAACATGTACATCCTGTTGAAGCTCCA